ACCAAAACCCAAGTTTAAACGTTGGGGAAACCCTTTAAAGAGGGGATCCTTCTACCCAAAATACATAATGCCGCCCTCCCCTGGAGTATGCAGCCCCAGCTGAATCCCCTGAAAAAAAGGGTAAAAAAAAACCGAACCCATGGAAATATAAACAAAAATGCAGTATAATGTGATCCTTTATTGACTATTTTCGCCCACACAGGGGGGTTTTTTTCAGTCACAAACAGAACTACCTGGGGGGAAGGAACGCGAGTTTTTATAGCCCCGGTTCAGAATGCTGAGTCAGGTGAAAATGCTGCATTGATGATGTACCGAGGGGGGGCTATAGAAAAAACTTGGGTAGCTTAAAGGAGATTGGAAAAGTTTGTGAGCAGCCTTTCTACAGTTTTTTTATGGGGATAGCGATGAAGAAGTTTCTGGCAAGTGTTCAGCTATGTTATGAAGCCATATTCTGGTTAAGTTGTGGGATATAGAAATAAGTGATGATTCCCGGGTTTTCGGGATTGAGTGTTTTTTTCTGTGGGGATAAGTCTTTAGTTCTGTTTTATCAAAGGGGTTGTGCAATTACGGGGTTGACGCAGGGATTCCCTTTTCGTCAACCTGCTTGCGTATTGTGTTCGAAATACGTGTTTTGGGGGTCCCTTGATGTTTCGCCCATATAAATTGTTGCAGTCTTACAAGGGGTTTTGTTCCCCCGCAGAGGGGAGGCTTGCCGTCTCTGTTGTTTGGTAAGCACATGCAAAAGTTAGACAATTTATTTCCCAAAAGTTTGCCCACACGTAGGCTTTTTAGTCGAAAGCGAAAATAGCGGAAAAGTAGAATGTGAAGACGTGAAACGTCCATCACCCCTTTTAGTCGTAGAATTTTTAGGTTGTCATCCCCGGGCCCGGAAAGTTCAGTTCCCTAGTCAGGAACTATCAGTTTTCCCGCCTATTTTTTTATTCGCTGAAGAACCTATGGTTGGGGAAAGTTTCGGAATAAAGTTGTCTAACTGTTGCATATTGTTTTTCCCAACAACCTTTTGGGATTTTTATCCTTTTTAAAGTCCGTCTACTACTGGGGAGTCCCGGTGTTTGTGGGTTTTGGAGGGAGATACCACCCCCGGTAGTTCGGTGACGAAAAAGCCCCCTGTGTGGGCGAAACGTAGTAAAAAAGGATCACTTATACTGCATTTTTGTTTTTATTTCCTGAATCCCCTGCTGATAAAAACCTTTCAAGAAAGGGGAAAAAAACCGGGAATTGCAAAAAAAATTTTAACAGTAGCCCCGGAGTGTGAGTCTCAGGACACGCTGAAGAGTTTAACCTACGACATTAGAAGATGGAAATCAAGGGACAGACCATGGCTATAAAAAAACTTGATGACTTGAAAAGGGGAAGAGACGAGTAAATCTCCGATATTATTATCATTTTTTTAAATTTTTATTTTATTATTTTATTATTATTTTATTATTATTTTTTTATTTATTATTTTTTATTATTTAAAAATTATTATTTTTTATTGGTGTTATTATTATCGGGAAGAGCTAAACCATGACGGGTTGAACCGTGCAAGGGAATGGGAAGGTAATCAAGATCCATGTAAGGAAGGGAATGGTTGGCCCAGTTCCTTGATTATGAGACCATCGTTATCAAGGACAATGTTGTGGTAGCAACAACAGCCACAACTAACAAAGGTGTGGTAGCAACAACAGCCACAACTAACAAAGGTGTGGTAGCAACAACAGCCACAACTAACAAAGGTGTGGTAGCAACAACAGCCACACTAACAAAGGTGTGGTAGCAACAACAGCCACACTAACAAAGGTGTGGTAGCAACAACAGCCACACTAACAAAGGTGTGGTAGCAACAACAGCCACACTAACAAAGGTGTGGTAGCAACAACAGCCACAACTAACAAAGGTGTGGTAACAACAACAGCCACCACTAACAAAAGTGTGGTAGCAACAACATCCACCACTAACAAAGGTGTGGTAACAACAACAGACACAACTAACAAAGGTGTGGTAACAACAACAGCCACAACTAACAAAGGTGTGGTAGCAACAACAGCCACCACTAACAAAGGTGTGGCAGCGACAACATCCACCACTAACAAAGGTGTGGTAACAACAATAGCCACCACTAACAAAGATGTGGTAACAACAACAGCCACCATTAACAAAGGTGTGGCAGCAACAACAGCCACCACTAACAAAAGTGTGGTAACAACAATAGCCACCACTAACAAAGGTGTGGTAACAACAACAGCCACCATTAACAAAGGTGTGGCAGCGACAACATCCACCACTAACAAAGGTGTGGTAACAACAACAGCCACCATTAACAAAGGTGTGGCAACAACAACAGCCACAACTAAGAAAGGTGTGGCAGCAACAACAGCTACCACTAACAAAGGTGTGGAAGCAACAACAGCCACAACTAACAAAGGTGTGGTAACAACAACAACCACCACTAACAAAGGTGTGGTAACAACAACAGCCACCACTAACAAAGGTGTGGTAACAACAACAGCCACCACTAACAAAGGCGTGGTAGCAACGACAGCCACAACTAAGGAAGGTGTGGCAGCAACAACAGCCACCACTAACAAAGGTGTGGTAACAACAACAGCCACCATTAGCAAAGGTGTGGTAACAACAACAGCCACACACAACAAAGGTGTGGCAGCAACAACAGCTACCACTAACAAAGGTGTGGTAGCAACAACAGCCGCGACTAACAAAGGTGTGGTAGCAACAAGAGCCACAACTAACAAAGGTGTGGTAACAACAACAGCCACCACTAACAAAAGTGTGGTAGCAACAACAGCCACAACTAACAAAGGTGTGGTATCAACAACAGCCACAACTAACAAAGGTGTGGTAGCAACAACAGCCACAACTAACAAAGGTGTGGCAGCAACAACAGCTACCACTAACAAAGGTGTGGTAGCAACAACAGCCACCACTAACAAATGTGTGGTAGCAACAGCCACAAATAACAAAGGTGTGGTAGCAACAACAGCCACCACTAACAAAGGTGTGGTAACAACAACAGTCACAACTAACAAAGGTGTGGTATCAACAACATCCACCACTAACAAAGGTGTGGTAGCAACAACAGCCACAACTAACAAAGGTGTGGCAGCAACAACAGCCACCACTAACAAAGGCGTGATAGCAACAACAGTCACAACTAAGAAAGGTGTGGTAACAACAACAGCCACCACTAACAAAGGTGTGGTAGCAACAACAGCCACAATTAACAAAGGTGTGGTAACAACAACAGCCACAACTAACAAAGGTGTGGTAGCAACAATAGCCACAACTAACAAAGGTGTGGCAGCAACAACAGCTACCACAAACAAAGGTGTGGTAGCAACAACAGCCACAACTAACAAAGGTGTGGTAGCAACAACAGCCACAACTAACAAAGGTGTGGTAACAACAACAGCCACCACTACCAAAGGTGTGGCAGCAACAACAGCCACCACTAACAAAGGTGTGCTAGCAACAACAGCCACCACTATCAAAGGTGTGGTAACAACAACAGCCACCACTAACAAAGGTGTGGTAGCAACAACAGCCACAACTAACAAAGGTGTGGCAGCAGCAACAGCCACAACTAACAAAGGTGTGGCAGCAACAACAGCCACCACTAAGAAAGGTGTGGTGACAACAACAGCCACAACTAACAAAGGTGTGGTAACAACAACAGCCACAACTAACAAAGGTGTGGTAACAACAACAGCCACCACTAACAAAGGTGTGGTAACAACAACAGCCACCACTAACAAAGGTGTGGTAACAACAACAGCCACAACTAACAAAGGTGTGGCAGCAGCAACAGCCACAACTAACGAAGGTGTGGCAGCAACAAGAGCCACAACTAACAAATGTGTGGTGACAACAACAGCCACCACTAACAAAGGTGTGGTAACAACAACAACCACAACTAACAAAAGTGTGGTAACAACAACAGCCACCACTAACAAATGTGTGGTAACAACAACAGCCACAACTAACAAAGGTGTGGTAACAACAACAGCCACCACTAACAAAGTTGTGGTAACAACAACAGCCACAACTAACAAAGGTGTGGTAACAACAACAGCCACCATTAACAAAGGTGTGGTAGCAACAACAGCCACCACTAACAAAGGTGTGGTAACAACAACAGCCACCACTAACAAAGGTGTGGTGACAACAACAGCCACTATTAACAAGGGTGTGGTAGCAACAACAGCCACAACTAACAAAAGTGTGGTAACAACAACAGCCACCACTAACAAAGGTGTGGTAACAACAACAGCCACAACTAACAAAGGTGTGGCAGCAACAACAGCCACCACTAACAAAGGTGTGGTAACAACAACAGCCACCATTAACAAAGGTGTGGTAACAATAACAGCCACAACTAACGAAGGTGTGGTAGCAACAACAGCCACAAATAACAAAGGTGTGGTAACAACAACAGCCACAACTAACAAAGGTGTGGTAGCAACAACAGCCACAACTAACAAAGGTGTGGCAGCAACAACAGCTACCACTAACAAAGGTGTGGTAACAACAACAGCCACCACTAACAAAGGTGTGGTGACAACAACAGCCACCACTAACAAAGGTGTGGTGACAAGAACAGCCGCCATTAACAAAGGTGTGGTAACAACAACAGCCACAACTAACAAAGGTGTGGTAGCAACAACAGCCACAAATAACAAAGGTGTGGTAACAACAACAGCCACAACTAACAAAGGTGTGGCAGCAACAACAGCTACCACTAACAAAGGTGTGGTAACAACAACAGCCACCACTAACAAAGGTGTGGTAACAACAACAGCCACTACTAACAAAGGTGTGGTAACATCAACATCCACCACTAACAAAGGTGCGGTAGCAACAACAGCCACAACTAACAAAGGTGTGGTAGCAACAACAGCCACAACTAACAAAGGTGTGGTAACAACAACAGCTTCCACTAACAAAGGTGCGGTAGCAACAACATTAAACAAGACACTTACCATATCAAAGATCTGGGTGAGGGTGATGCCCAGCTGTATAATAATAGGGTGAGAGGCGTTCCTGACTGGTCTAACATCACGGTCGTAGCCTCTCATAAGAGCGTCCAACAGTCTTTTCTCGTCATTCTCCTCCAGTTTTATGACGTTCTCTGCTGGCTTCATTAAGCCAGGACTGCTGCTACTGCTGCTACTGCTGCTACTGCTACTGCTGCTACTTGTCGTGGTGCTGAGGTTGCTGCTGAAGGCTCCGTTGATGCTGTTCACTACATTACTGCCTAAAGAGGAAAGAGAAAAAAAATTGGGTTACTTATCTTTCCCCGAGATTATAACTTAATCTAAACCCACGTAACTTCTGGCTAGCGTCGTCAACTTCAGTAGAATATTTATGGTCAATAATTCTAACTTAAATTTTTAATTGGACTGACAGTTAAGCCAGTGGAAGGCCTCAGTCAGATGGCCAAACACTACAGTGGCTGGTTATCATGTGACCAGATCCACTCTAGGACACAGCTGTCCTTTTTCCTGACGAATTTGACCTCAACTAACCCAGAAAATTTGCCACTTGATCTCCAAGTGTGTTTTCCACAGTGGCTGGAGTGCACTGACAAAACTAGAGTGTGAGAACTAGGACCTCCAGATACCATTGTCAAAAAAGGAGGTACCACCGTCAAAAAAAGAAGGTACCACTGTCAAAATAAGAAGATACCTTATCTCCCATTTCTCTTTCTCTCTCCTTATAACTGAGTAACAACCAAGACCACCTAACATTGTCCTAAAACTCTCAGAATATCGTGTCTCTTGAATCTATCACGAAACTACATCACAAATAAAATAAAATTTGATTTCTTTAGTAACGTTACAGTGTTTACATCCATAATTTGACTGGAACAAAGAAAACCACTATCATGCCGAGACTTTTCGGGTAGACTAACCTAATCTTAAAGACGACTTAGTCTAGACAAGTCAGGAATGGTGGTATACGTACAAATATTCAATATTTTACTCTTTTATTAGTATGAGGTAGTACAATTTATGATACAAACAAACATTTTCAAGTTTGTAAACACGAACAGGAATGAAAAAACCTAGGTACTTTCTCACTGAATCTAAAAATAGTTAAATACAGAAAATATTCAGTAGTTATTAATTATTCAGATCATCGACACCATGCCCAGCCCTTCTGGGGTAGGGTAGGTGCCTGAGCCAGAACTTGCATCTCACAAGACAGCCATTCCCATTAGCCCCCTTGGGGAGGGGATGGCAGACCAGAGAGGCCTATCTTTCCCCTACGAGCCCGTGAGGACGGGGAATGTGGCTAGGCCTGGGGACAGTTGGTCCCAAATATGAGGGGGTACTTGTGCTTCCTCCCATGGGAGACTTAGGTCTCAGACACTCCGTAGACAGGGAGCCAAGGCCGGGCCACCACTTGGAAAAGGCCCGGGCAGGGAAAATACCTGGAGAGAGTTTACCTGGAGAGAGTTCCGGGGGTCAACGCCCCCGCGGCCCGGTCTGTGACCAGGCCTCCTGGTGGATCAGAGCCTGATCAACCAGGCTGTTACTGCTAGCTGCACGCAATCCAACGTACGAGCCACAGCCCGGCTGTTCAGGTACCGACTTTAGGTGCCTATCCAGTGCCTGCTTGAAGACAGCCAGGGGTCTATTGGTAATCCCCCTTATGTATGCTGAGAGGCAGTTGAACAGTCTCGGGCCCCTGACACTTATTGTCTCTTAACGTGCTAGTGACACCCCTGCTTTTCATTGGGGGGATGTTGCATCGACTGCCAAGTCTTTTGCTTTCGGAGAATGATTTTCGTGTGCAAGTTTGGTACTAGTCCCTCTAGGATTTTCCAGGTGTATATAATCATGTATCTCTCCCGCCTGCGTTCAAGGGAGTACAGGTTCAGGAACTTCAAGCGCTCCCAGTAATTGAGGTGTTTTATCTCCGTTATGCGCGCCGTGAAGGTTCTCTGTACATTTTCTAGGTCGGCAATTTCACCTGCCTTGAAAGGTGCTGTTAGAGTGCAGCAATATTCCAGCCTAGATAGAACAAGCGACCTGAAGAAGGTGTCATCATGGCTTGGCATCCCTAGTTTTAAAGGTTTCTCATTATCCATCCTTGTTTTTTTCCTAGCAGATGCCATGTACAATGTTATGGCCCTTGAAGTGAGATCCTCGACATGATCACTCCCAGGTCTTTGACGTTGGTGTTTCGCTCTATTTTGTGGCCAGAATTTGTTTTGTACTCCGATGAAGAGTAATTGAAATTTCTCATCGTTGAACTTCATATTGTTTTCTGCAGCTCACTGAAAGATTTGGCTGATGTCCGCCTGGAGCCTTGCAGTGTCTGCAATGTCTGCCTGGAGCCTTGCAGTGTCTGCAATGTCTACCTGGAGCCTTGCAGTGTCTGCAATGGAAAACACTGTCATGCAGATTCGGGTGTCATCTGCAAAGGAAGACACGGTGCTGTGGCGAGTACTGTGCCTTGTGGAACAGAGTTTTTCACCGTAGCTGCCTCAGACTTTACTCTGTTGACGACTACTCTCTGTGTTCTGTTAGTGAGGAAATTATAGATCCATCGTCCGACTTTTCCTGTTATTCCTTTAGCACGCATTTTGTGCGCTATTACGCCATGGTCACACTTGTCGAAGGCTTTTGCAAAGTCTGTATATATTATATCTACATTCTTTTTGTCTTCTAGTACATCTAGGACCTTGTCGTAGTGGCGAATCTTTAATAAAAATAATAATTATTCAGATAATTAGTAGTTAGTTATTATTCAGATATTTCTTTTACTCGTAGTTTCCTCTTGTCAGAACATTTCTTGCTTTTGCTTTCTAATCTTAACACTAACACAGGTTTCTCACACCCTTTTCATCTGTCAGACAGTCTGGACTGATCAGCAGACTCTCAGACTGGACAGCTACGACAATGGCATCCTGGGTATATACCAGTTTATCATTTCACATATAACACACACGTAGGAGAATGTAACTTAGGGTTCGTCTTGGACCCATAGCTAGTCACCAGTACTCGGGAAATCGTAATAACACAATGCAAACAAATCAGGAATGGCTGGAAGGTTGAACCCATTGGAGGTGAGTTTTATGAGTCTGTCATGGGCCACCATTGATACCTTCTGCCTCAGAGAATTTCCCTTTTCTGTCTGTCGTTCTGTTGCAACATTGTATAGCTCCTGATGACGTAAGAGAGTGTGAAAGATCTTGCGCTAAAGATTACTATCTCCCTGTGGTTTGTTCTACACATATGTACCTTGTCTGCTCACAGAGCTGGCAAATGAACGGGGATCCGTACAAGGCTAACTACTGCCGCGTCTTACAAGGCTACATCTGAACGTGACTTACAAGGCTACAGCTGAACTGAATGTATCACAGGCTACCAACTGCAGGTATAAGTCACATGGCTTATGTTCCCCCTAAATGGATTACAGATTGTTTAATGCATTAGTTTATAAGTGACCACGTCTCTGGTAAGACAAGGCATGATAGTCTACAATAACACCCACGCACGACACAGAGACACTACACCACACACACACACACACACACACTCACACCACACAGCGCCCACCACACACCACACACACACACACAACACACACACAAACGACACACACACCCACAAACACTCACACACACCCACCACACACACACGGACAGCACTAGAGAAAGTGCAAAGGTTTGGCCGACAAGGTTAGTTCAAACTAAAGGGCAAGTCCTACGAAGAAAGGTTAAGGAAAGTCGGGCTAGACGACACTGGAGACAGGAGGTAAGGGGAAACATGATAACGACATACAGAATAACTGCGTGGAATAGACAAGGTGGACAGAGACAAGAGGTTCCAGAGAGGGGACACAGCAAAACAAGGGTCACTCTTGGAAGTTGAAGACATCAGCTGAGGCACAGGATGATTAGGAGCATTTCTTCAGTACAGAGTGGTCAAAGTGGAACAGTCTGGCGAGCGATGTAGTGGGCGCAGGTACCATACTCAGCTTTAAGAACAGGAATGATAAAGCTTCATGACAGGAGAGTGAGGGCCTAGTAGCATTCAGTGAAGAGGCGGGGCCAGGACTGATTCTCGACCCCTGCAACTACAATTAGGTAATTATGGTGTGTACAACACACACTCACACACACACGACCCAATACACACACACACAATAGAAATGGAGCCACATGGGGCCCAAGATACATGAGAGTAAGTTGCTGGAGTGTACTGGAAGAACTTCATGTACAAACACGTAAGGGAACACTACAAGGAGAGAGAGAGAGGATGAACCACAAGACTGAACCTATAGTTCACCTGAGTAGTGCAGGTATTGAGGACAATCACATATAAAGACCCCTTGGGGCCAGCGATCATGTGGTTTTAACTTCGAATACACAGTAGAGCTACCAGTGGAGGGGAGCAGAGGAAAGGCCAGGTAGAATGAAAGCCAAACTACAAGAAAGGGACTACACAGGAATGAGGAACTTCCTGAACGGGGGTTCAGTGGGACAGAGAACTGGCGGGAACCAGTTAATGAATGATGGGAATATGTAGCGCAACAATTTGCAAGACAGATGAGGAGAGTTTGTAACCCAAGGTAACAGGAATAATGAAAAAGCCAGGATGAGTCCAGGGTTTCACACAAAGGTGCAGGAGGCAAAAACAATGTGCTAGGGAATGGAAAGAATTATAGAAGAGCATAGGAACCCAGGAGAATAAGGAGAGGAGGTCATAGAGCCAGAAAATGAATATGCACAGATAAGAAGGGAGGCCCCACGACGAATATGAAACGACCATAGCAGCGCAGCCAAATCTGACCCGAAACTGTTATAATCAGCCACCTGCAGGACGAAAACAACAGTCAAGGACAGGTAATCAGGCTAAGGACAGAGAAGGAGGAGAGACAACAAGACAGGACATGAAGTATGTGAGAACCTCAACAAGAGAATCAAAGAATTCAACAGAAGAGACAGAAGGGGCTCAGAAAAGACGAGAGGTGGGGTTACACCGCACGCAAGTGCAGGACGCGGTGCAACACAACCGAGGGAGAATGAAAGAGGCTTCCTGCAGTGAGCTCGATACCTCAAAGCAATGGGAACCGGATTAAATCTCTCTCCATGGGTCCTGAGAGGAGGGAGCAGAGGCGCTATGTGTACCCTAACAACAATAATCAATACAACCTATCTAAACAGGAGATTGCCTGAGGCATGGAAGACAGCAAAGGTAAGTCCCAACTTCAAAAAAGGAGACAGAACATGAAGCACTAAACTACAACCAGTGTCATGACATGGATAGAATGCAAAATCTTGGAGAAGATTATCCAGGAGAAGCAGTGGTGGAGAACACCTAGAAAGGTATGATCTCATCAACAGCAGCCACATGAGGTTCAAGGTGGGAAATCCTGTGTCACAAACCGACTGTGAGTTCTATGACATGTGACAGCAGTTAAACACAAGACGAGAGAGGGGTGGTGGATTGCATATTCTTGACGGCAACGAAGCATTTTGCCACAGTTCCCACACAAGAGATTAGTGCAAAAACTGGAGGATCAAGCAGGATAACAGGAAGGCACTAAATGGATCAGGACAATACTTGTCAGGAAGATACAGCAGCGAGTCATGGTACGTGGCGAGTGTCAGAGTGGGCACCTGTGATCAGCGGGGTCCCACAGGGGTCAGTACTAGGGCCAGTGCTGTTTCTGTATTTGTTGAACGACATGGCGGAAGGAATGAACTCCGAAGTGTCCTGTTTGCAGATGATGTGAAGTTGATGAGAAGAATTTCATTCGATGCGAAGACCAGGCAGAACTACAAAAGGGATCTGGACAGGGCCTGCATACCTGGTCCAGCCAATTGGCCCTGGAGTTCAACACAACCCCACGGAATGTCAAAAGTTCATTGAAGATTGGGGAAGGCAAAGAAGACCGCAGACAGAGACAAGTCTCGGGGGGCCAAGACTACAAACCTCACTCCAAGGAAAAAAAGATCCTGGGTGAGTATAACACCCGGCGCACATCAATCAAATAACTGCTGCAGCATATGGGCGCCTAGCAACCTCAAACACATTCCGACATCCTAATTAAGGAATCGTCAGGATCCTGTAAACCGTTGTCCGTTAGGCCCATATTGGAGTATGCGCGCAACCAGTTTGGAACCCCCACCTAGCCAAGCATGTAAAGAAACTAGAGAAAGTTGCAAAGTTGCAACAAGACTAGCCAGACTAAGAGGTATGTCGACTAAGAGGTTAAGGGAACAACCTGACGACACTGGAGGACAGAGAGTCGGGGGACAATGGATAACGACAAATCCAAAAATACCTGAGCGGAATGAACAAGTTGGGCAAGACAGGATTTCCAGAGAAGGACACAGCAACAAGGGGACAATAGTTGGAAAGTTGAAGACACAGATGAATACACAGGGATATTAGGAAGTTTTTTCTTTCAGCCACAGACGTAGTCAGTAAGTGGAATAAGTTTGGGAAGCGATGTAGTGGAGGCAGGATCCATACATAGCTTTAAAGAGCAGAGGTAGATAAAGCACACGTTCAGGAGGTGACCTATACGAGCAGTGAAGAGGCGGGCCAGGAGCTATGACTCGACCCCCGCAACCTAACTAGGTGAGTACAGACTAGGTGAGTACAGACACACAAACACACATCACAGACGCACCCACAGACACCACAGACAACAGACACACACACACACAGACAAACACATAAAACAGACAGACACAGGACACAGACACAGACACACACACACAAACCACACACACACAGACACACACACACACTCACACACACACACACACATACATTACAACACACACACACAACACACACACAACACACCATACTTACACACACACACGACACACACAGAGCTGAGTCTCGACCGCCCCTGCAACCACAATTAGGGGAGTTACATACACACACACACACACATCATACACACACACCATACGACACACACACGCCACACACACAACACACGTCACATACACACACACACACACCACACACACACATGACCCACACACATACACAATCACACACACTCACACATACACACACACACAACCCACACACACATCACACACCGTACACACAACATACACACACACACAACCACACACGAATACATACACACATACCACATCACCCACCATTCACTACCCACACACATACACACACACACCACCTTCCTAAGGAAATGCCTAGAGGAAAGAATTAGGGAAATCGGACTGACGCCCACTGGAGGACAGGAGGGTCAGGGGAGACATATAAAGACATATAAAATTCTGCGTGGGAATAGACAAGGTGGACAAAGACAGGATGTTACCAGGGAGGGGACACAGAAATCACAGGCACAATTGGAATTTGAAGCACCACAATGAGTCAGAGAGATATTAGGAAGTATTTCTTCAGTCATAAGAGTTTGTAAGGCAGTGGAATAGCGCTAGACATGACGTAGTGGAGGCAGTAAACCTACACAGTTTTAAGACGAGGTTTGATAAAGCTCATGGACCGGGAGAGCGAGGGCCCTGTAGCAACCGGTGAAGAGGCGGGGCCAGGACTAAGACTCGACCCCTGCAACCACAAATAGGTGAGAACAAATAGGTGATGCACACACACACACACACATACACACATCACACACACACATACATACACACATACACACACACACACACACACACACACATACATACACACACACACACACACACACACACACACATACATACACACACACACACACACACACACACACATACATACACACACACACACACCACACACACACACACACACAAACACACATACACACGCACACACATACACAAAACACACATACACACACACACACACAACACACACACACACACATACACACACATACACACACACATACACACACACACATACACCACAC